CCCCGCTTTCGATATATCCGCATCGCATCCCGCGCATTTATCGCGCGCGGCCGCCGGCCTGTAATTTCGCCGAGTCGAATTTCAACGTGCGCGCGTATCACCGGATATCGCCGATACGCCGTGGATCGCGGCGCAACGCGAGGATTCAGATTCAATTAACCCCATCGCGATAGCGATGGTATCTGTGTTTATCCGCGAAAAACATCCGCGATTTTTCTACATTCACGGAGAAACGGCGGCATTTTAAGCGTCGCTCTGGGAATCCCCGCGGATCATCTTGGTGAAACGCGAGATAGCTACCTGCGCTACGCGCCATTTCTTACGGGAGCACTCGGTCTCGCGCGGCTCGTCATTAACGTACCCACTACTCATTAAGCAATCTCGACCGCGTCGCGCCTCGAAGGAGTCGAGAAAAAATTTTAACTAACGAAGACGAAGACGAAGGAGCCGGGCGCGGCGCGAACGCCCGCGCGCCGCCGCGTTTTTTCAGCTGTGCACATTCGTACCGCGTTTGGACAGCGTGTCGGCGCAAACAGACCGATTAAAAGTATCAATATTTACCGAATTGGGGGGTCCTGCGCAAACGTGCGCCGTGCAGTTTACAGGAGGTAGTAAACCCGGCGGCGAGGTCCGGTTCCTCTAATACGCGCGCGTGTGTGCGTGTGTATCTACGTGTGTGTGCGCGCATGAGTGTACGTAACGACGTCTGCCCGTCTGCCCGTTGACGTTCTCGCAACGTGTACCCTACTAACTAACGTTAGCACTTCGCACCACCGTCCGTCCCTTTCCCGCGGAATCGCTCAACGCCCTTCCCCCCCCCCCCCTTCGTCCCTCCTCTTCGGCTCCGTAATACTCGATTACGTAGGATGCCGTTGACGCGGAAAATATTTTACGGATACCGACATACGAGGGAACATGCTTGTTGGATTAGGAACAACTCTCTCGTGAGGTTCGGCGCTGAATTTGAATAGTTTTCAGCACAAATACGCAGTGGTTTAACGTGCTCGAGTCGTATTGTTCGATGGAGAAAAAAAAGAGTCGAGAACAGCTGGGCGAGCGAAATGTATCGCCAAGTAAATCGAGTTTACCTACGAGACACCGCGAATTCAAGTGTGAAAAAATTGGGGAACGTGACCTATATGGGCACTTGCAATCACTTTATCTCATTAATATTATTATCTCCGTTACTTCTTCCGATAAAATCTTCAGTTCAATTCTTTAGGATATTACTTTGATATTATTTTAGGATATTATTTTGATAATAATAAAATAATCAGTCTGTATAAATATCCATTGTTATATTGGGCACAATTTGTTGATATCACGACTTTTGCAAGAAAGATATCAATACTTTTGTAGAGAAGATATTTTTGCATAGAAGATAGAAATGTGTTTTGATAACATAAAATATTTCCAACTAAGTAAATCATACAGTTCTTATTCGGATGCTTACACTTGACGTCTTTTATTACCTTTTGTAAAAAGGTAATTTCTGAGGTGATATCTTTTGACAAGACTACTCGAAGACAATATAGACGACATAGACGACAAATTTAAGGATCTTGTTGGCTCGATTGCCAAGTCCGCGTTGACAGTGACACGCTCTGTCCACCCTTGGCAAAATTATTTCACCGCAACGCGTGGAAAATAACGTTTAAAGGCTAAACTGTCCTTGCAACGTACAGCGTCATTTTTCATTTCAACGTGCTGTTTTTATATTTAAAATAATTGCCGTTAAAACGCACCGGAGACTTCCGTTCCATTTTGACCGTTTTTTTTTGTAGTTAAGCAACTTAACATTTCCATTAGTGCCTCTTAAGTGAAAATTATCTTTGCGTTACTGAATATCGACGGAACTAATTGAGAGAATTGATTAGTATCACTTTAAAGTCTTTGATAGAATAGCTAATTGCGATTTTTAGTTACGCGGGGTAAAATTCGTACAAGATATATTAGAGTTACAAACAATCCAACTAATTCGATTACTAATTGTGGGCCCCAAAATGGGTTACCGTCTTTTTTTCCCCCCAGAGATCAGGCGCAATTCAATTCGACACATGTGTTATTTATCGATCACCCAGACACAAAAGAGTGAACTTTTCAAATCTATTCTATCGACTACACACGCCCTTTTTCTATTTCCATGTACGTTGCGAGAATTTTCATGATATACCATTTTTTCCTCGCGTCATTCAACACTGAGAGAAAAAATAGTCATTTTTAGAGCCAACCATATTTTTTATAATTCCTCCAACGTAAGTTATGGTTGACCTAACAATGTGATAGTTCTCATAACCACAATATTGGTTGTCATAAACCAAAAATATGGTTGGGTCCAAAAATGACTATTTTTTTTCTCTCAGTGAAGGTGGTTGCTTTTTTTTCAAGTCCAGAGAAAAACTTTTATGTGTGTCGGCCCAGGTTCAAGCCCTGGCCGAGGTGAGTTTTTCGCAAAAAATTTAAAAAGTAAAATCATTTCGACACTAACATCCTGCCTTGGCCCTCGCATTCTTTACTACTTTGTATTTTATCATTTAACGTGTTTTTCGGAGGTAACGCGCTGATAAACACACAACGGAATTCAGTCGGCCCATTTTAGGGAGCTTTCCCGCATACTTGCTACCTGACAACATCCGATGCACCATGTATCATTATACTGTTACGATTAGGGTCGGGCCTGAAACTCTCATTACGATGCTCGCAGGCCCTCGTCTCAGATCAGGTCAGGTTAGATTAGGTTAGAGTTAAGGTTAGGTTAACGACACTCCACACAAAGTGACGTTTGAGCGCGTCACGGCGATTGTCAAGTTGCAACAGCATATCGGCCGTACGATACCTTTTTCTACGAGTTAAGTTCGAGTTAGGTTAGGTTCGAGTTAGGTTAGGTTAGGTGAGGTTTGACTAACTGACTCCATTAGCGAGTCGCGAAAAAATTGTTTGTCCGCGACGTTTTACGCGCTGCGGGGCTGCGCGCTCCTCTAACGCCGAGAGAGAGAGTTGCGCGAAACAAAAAAAAAAAGAGGCGTTAATATCCTGTAATGGACGGATGGACGTTATACGCCGCGACGAGCGGGAAAGAAAACCGAGAAACGGCGCGAACGTGACGGGACTGCGCAACGACGGGACTCTCCGCCGTAGAGCTGGACGCGAGTCGTGCGCGACGGCTAAGTCGCCATTATCTCGACCGGGCCATTAAACGCAGGCAGCGCCGAGAGTCCGGCGCGCGGCAGTCCACCCGGCTCGCACGATTCACGGATCAACGATTCCGACGTGCCGTGGCGAAACGCTTTTCGCACGGCCGCGAGAGGCCGGCGTCGGACGACGGGCAAATCCGATTGTTCCGCGTCCGTACCGCCGAATTTTCGGCGCGCGGCGGGGGGGCACGTGCACGCGCACGTGACGTTGTGCATTAAACAAATTCAATTTATCGATATTTATATACAATGCGCCGGGGTCGCCGCTGCCGAAAAACGGCCTCTTGTGCACTTTCCAAAAAGTTAATACACAGACACCGAGAAAAATGTCGGATTAAATGTAATCGGATAATTAATTGCATAATAACAAACGGATATATCCAATTAAATTGTATATTCGATGAAAAATATGATCGGTTTTTCAATCAAATTTCATCGGATGTATCCACAATTTACTCGGAAAACGTAATCGGAAAAATTAACCGTCGAAAACACCGTTTAATTGATTTATCCGACGGAAATTTTTCTCAGTGGACAGAAAATTCTTTTCACGCGGCCGAGTAACGGCGAAACAATTTTTGCCCGGTGCCGTCTTTTCCCGTTTCGTCGCATGTATTTAGACTTTTGCAAATTCGAAATCACGGCACCGTGCAATAAAAACGTTCGCGCACACGTGCGGTTACGCGCGTGAAAGGAGGAGCGGATGGACGTGCGCGTGTTTTCGAATTGTAAAGCAAGTCCGAACCTAACGGTTGCGAGTCGAGGCGGAGAAAATTGTTATTTATGTATGTCGGCGGTTGCAGCCGCGGCATCTCGCGTCACACGTGCGTCCCGCGACGACCACGTGGTCGGAATTTTCTTGCGCGGCGCGATCTTTCGACGCGCACGATGAAAGTTCGAACGCGGACGATCGACACCCGATACGCGGGCGTATAAGCGCGGAATGTCGAGCGTCGCGTCGCCAATCAGGGCCGCGTGCACGCGACTGCACGGCGAAACCCGAGAAGCCGTCCTGAATTCGCCGATGACGGCGGATCGCGTTACGAGAGGTGCGAATCGCGCGCAGTAACGGGCGCGCAATCGAGCGCGACAGTCGGAGCACTCCGAAAGGAAACTGTCATCGCGATTATCTCTTCACGACCAGTAAAAAGACGGCGGAGAGGAAAAGAAGAGAGAGAAAGAGCGGCGTTCAGGAACGCGCTCTGCGATCAAGGAAGAGCGGGTTAAACGGGTTAACAACGATGTAAATTGCAGGCGTAAATCAGATCGCCCTGCGCGCGCGGCGCGACCGCGCCGGTCCGCGCCGGCGCGGCCGTCGCGTCGCGGTCGCGACGCGCCGCGGCGGTGCATTAGGTATGCAACGTGCCGTAAAATAGACCGAGAGGCCCGCGCGAAAAAAAAAGGGAACGCGGCGGGCGCGAGGTGAAACCTTATCGCGCGTCGCGATCCGCCGGCGTTTCCGACGGTTCCGCGGCGGGTGGAAGCGTCGCGCGCGCGCGCGCGCCGCGAAATACATCACCGCCTCGTGTCGCCGGCGCCGTTATCGGCCGCATTCCGGCGGGGAGGCTCGCGCATACATAGGCGCGCGCGTCCAGCCTAATTTATTCGGCCTGAGAATTTACGTCGATTAAATCCGATAGCTGTTTAATGGTTACACAATTGCGGTTCACGCAGTTTATCTCCGCCGAATGCCAGCGTCGATATACCGGGGATTACAAATAAACAAGCGTGTTGTGATTATCGTTGCCCGCTATTATTATTATTATTATTATTACTATCGTTACGTTATCGATAATCGCTACTCACCGGATGCCTGGCGGCAGCGGCGGCCACGGCGGCTGCGTTGATTCCGGCGCTGGGATACATCCTTCCGGCGTGGTTTCCCGCTCGATGCGCCCACCAAGAATACCCCCGCGGTATCTGTGCGACGTGATCCCGCGCTGACGCTGGCCGGAGACGCGCGCGCGACGACTCGGGGGGGTGCTGCACCTCACTGGAGGCGCGTCATGTCGCACGCGGCCGCGCTCCTTCCGACGAGTGCGCCGGTGAGGGACAAACGGCGGTGATAAACAACAAAAAAACAACAACAACAAACGGCACAACAGCAACAACCGTGCAACAGAGGGCGAAACAAGGACGTTCCCGGTGCGGTGGGAAGGAGGCTCGTGACGTCGGCGGTCACCCGGTCGCTACGAAGACGATGACGGCCGGCACTCCCCGCGACGACGTGCCACGCACCGCTGCGACGCGTACGCGAACGTGATTCGCAACACCACGTTTCCCCGCCGAAAATCCATCGGCGGTCGCCGCCAATCCATCCGTCACTACCGTCTCATCGGGCGCGCGGCGCGCGGGGGGGGGGCAGCCGCTCGGACGTTACACCTCTCCTGCACTCGCGCGGCTAGCGGTCGCCGTCGGTAGCGGCCTCCCTTCTCTCCTCCTCCTTCTTCTTCTTCTTTCTCTCGGCTCACCGGGTCAGGTGAGGCTGGCCGTCGCGCTCATTCGGAGTCACGCACGACGCGCGACGGGGCGACTCGATGGCCGTGTCCGCGCCTTTCTTTGTGCTGCGCGACGCGGAGGGAGACGCGACTTTACCTTCTTTCTTTTTTCCGGTCGGTAAGGCAGGAGTAGTAGTGGCCCGCGTCGTCGCGCCGCTCGGAGAAACCTTCACGCCGAAGGATCTCTCTCGCCAGGAGAGAACGCGCACGCGTTCCTTTGTATCCGACACACGCGCACGAGTTTGTCACGATCTATTTACTTCACTTCCGCTTCCTCTTCGTCTCCTCTTCTCTCCCCGATGGCGGCGGCGGCGACCACCGGCGGCGTCGCCGTCGAACGTCGCGAGCAACACTAATGCGCGTCACACACGCGCTGAAACACTGCACACACTCCGTTGTTTACCCGAGCGCGAACGCGTACAGCGAGCGCGAGCGAGCGACAGCGGGAGCGCGCGGGCGCGCGTGCGCGCACGGCACGGCACGTCCGCGGCTCGTTCGGGGAAACGACGTTGGACCGCCGCGAGAGCGCGAGGCTCGGGCGACCGCGAGAGGAGGCGGCGGATCGATCGATCTCGGACTTGCGGAAAAGTTCTCGCGAGAAATCCCGAGGACGAGCGTCGTGAAAGAGCGCGCGCGCGGGCCAAGTGACGCGAACGAACCACTCGCGGCGGCGGCTACGGAGCGACTGACGGATAGACCGATGGTGGGAGATCGCGTTCTCCCCTCCAGCGTGCCTTCCGCCGCGCCCGCCGCGCCGCGTCTCGCCCACGACCGGCGGCTCTCCCACTCCCTCGCTGCCGCGTCGCCTGACTCGCCACCACCCCCCCCCCCACCCGGCCCCGCCGCTCCCCGCGGCCCAACGGTCCCGCTACTTCGCGTTTAAAGCCGCCAAGCATCCCCTCGAATGTCTCTCGTCTCCTCTACGCTCGTATTAACCGGCGCGATAGCTCCTTCGCAATTAAGTCGCGTTACGTAAGGATCTCGAAAAGGCGAGCACGAAAATCACGGCTCGTTAAAACGTTGCTCTACGCGTCCCTCTTACAAACTCCGTCCGTCTACCTCTCCCTCTCTCTCTCTCTCGGTCCCCCGCTTTCCTTACGTATGGTCGATCCGTTTTATCGGAGCTCCTTTCCGACGAGGAATGTCCGCCGTGATTCCCGATCGTCCACGCCGCGTCTTTACGATCGCCTTTACGCGCCTCTACGGCTCTCGTCGGCGATGAACGGCGGAATGGAATTACATCGTCGTCAAAGCCCGGGCACGCGGGAGTCCCCCCGCCCCCCCGATTTTGCCGTCGACGGCTTCGCACGGCGAACGTTGCGAAACGCGTCCGCGCTCCCGATTCGTTCCTTCCGCGAGCGTACGTGTGCAGAAAGGTGACTCGGCGCGGCGCTATTCCCTCTTACTCATCGGCGCGCTTTATCGACGCCGATTGCCGGCCGTCTGTTTTTTTCCGCCGATGTCCCGCGGTGGCATTATCGCCGCGACGACGGCGTCGCGGTGCCCGCGCGCGCGCGCTTGGTACTCGCGCCCTCCGGTATCCGAGCGATTCGGCGTATCAATCTCGCGAGAGACCGATAAAAACTCGCTCGCGTCGTTATTCCGACGCTGGTATAGGTACTCCGCTGCTCGTAGTCGGCCGTGCCTCGACTACGAGCACGGATTTTTGCGAGTCTCGGAGCGGAGAAACGCCCGGTCCGCCGGGCACCGAAAAGTTGTCGGTCGCAGACGGATACGCGGCGCGGCATAAAACGAAGATAGAGAGGGAGACAGAGAGAGAGAGAGGCGCGGCATGCCGAGCATACGCGTCGGTATTAGTCGTTCCTCCGGGTTCGCTACGGCGTGTGCAAACAAATCGAAAGTTTTTCGCAAAATGGCCGTCACCGGGCTGACACGGATGTCCGCGTAAACTCCCTTTCGCCCCTCCGCCCCGCCCCGCCCCCGCCGCGCTTTTCCCCGCGCCTCGTTTCCCCGCTTGTCGACCGGCTGCCTCTCTCGCCACTCGTGATTTCCCTCACTTCCCACACTACCACAAATATGGCGCCTCCACCCGTTTTCCCAACCCCTATACAACGTAGCTTCGCATAAAGCGACAGAGCGAGAGAGGGGGAGGATACGTACACGTACGCCAGCGCGCGCGCGCGCGCGATATAACCGGAGTATATATGTATACCCGTGTACGTGCGCGGCGTACGTGTGTGTACACGTGTACGAGTGTGCGCGAGTGTGCAGCGAGTACCATCCTGTACGCGCGATTGTGTGTGCTAAGGGGGTGCCCCTATGTGAATATCGCGCGGCACACAGTCCCAAGCAGTTTCCTACTTGATTGCCGCTATCGTCCGCTCGCCTCGTAAAGGCGCTGACTCCGCGCGGACCGCCGCCGTCGTGATCGCAACCTCGGCCAATCGGCGGGGCCCCGGCCGTCACTTGGCCAATCGCGGCCAAGTCTGGCGCGGCCGATCGACTCGGCGGCGGCAAAGAGTCGAATGAAAACGCGACCTCGGCCAATGGCGCGGCGACTTTTTCGCGATGACGCGCGTACGTGGTATCCGCGCGGATCCGCGCGCTCGCTGTCCCTCCCCCCCCCCCTCGCGCCGCTCCGCTCCGAGCCTCCGCGGGAGAACGTACCTATACTGAATAAAGGTGCTACGCGAAGCCGCAGCGAAACATGAAAAATAGGGGGCCACACGAGGAAAAACACGGACCCGAGGGAGGAAAGAGGATGAGGAGGTGGAGATGGAGGGCGCTGTTGGATGGATCCTACGAACCGAGACACCGAAGGCTGGGTGCAGTCAGGGTTGCGTGGGATGGGTCGGGAAAGGAGGCCGGGACGACTAGAGTATAGAGGCCGAGGATGAGAATGGAAAAGTAACATAACGAAACGTCGATCCCATTACCTGCAGCTCTCTCCCTCCTTCTCTCTGGCCCTGCCGCGCCATACGCTCCGCCGCTGCCTGCACGCCTCACCGCGCCGCGCCGTGCAACCAGCCCCGCTTTCGACCCTTAATCCAAAGGAGGATTAGAAAAGCCCATTGTCATGCTCCGCGGAACGCGGGATGGGTAATACGCGTATGCGCGACGCTTCGTCCCTCCGTGCACCTCTGACACGTACCGACGTGCGCGAGAGACCGA